GGCGGAAGGATCGCCAGAGCCCAGCAGGTCGAGGCTGCGGTGGCTGGGAGCGGCCACTGCTCTCCAGTCTGGGTGACAGAGTGAGACTCCAACTCAAAAAAAAAAAAATTCAGTAAACTTGGTATAAATGAAAAGCACAATTTTATAATCAACACAAAAAAGGGGGCATATAGCTAAAAAGAAAAATAGTTTGAGTCAACGTTTTAATAAATTAAAGGCTATCTGGGAAACACCCATAAATTTTTTATATTAAGGAGAGAATAATATTCTTCTTCAACAAGGAACCCTTTCTTCAAGTACCAGAAATAAAAGCAAAAACCGGGAAGAGTGGCATTTGTCTTTCTATGACTCAGGAGTTATCTCTGAGCCGCCTATCTGTTGTTCCCAAAACAACTTACAATTCTCATCTCACCATTCAGATTCAAGCTAGCATTCCATACAGGACTTCTTACAGAAACGATCTGTTACTGAATGCTGCACTTCCTGTCGCTCATTTCAAAGTTCTCAAATTCTCATTTCAGTTTTTTTCACACACAGATACTTAACGTTGTTGTGCCTTTCAATACTTTGTTCCTTGTTATTGCTGAGTAGTATTGCTTTGTATTGATAGATATACCAGGATTTATTTATCTATACTCCCACTTATAATACAATTATTCATATGTGTATTCTTGTACAAGCCTTTTTATGGAGATACACTTTCATTTCTCTTGGGAAAGTACCTAGTATTGATATTGCTGGACCCCATCTAATACTTTCTGAGCAACTACAATGTAATTAATGGCCAGAAAATATTAACATGACTCATAGTGTAAATATGCATTTATAACATAGGGACCAAAATGATTCTGATTAAAATATCTAGTAACCTAATAATAGAGGGTTTAAATCTGCAAAACTGATGAATCATCAAATAACCTTTTGTTTAACAGAAGGCAAATTATTTATGTATACACTGCCTTTTGAGGTTTTTGACACATTCTCTTTGGCTCTGTCTTGATTTATATTATTTTATTACAGTCACTCTTCACACACACGGGAGAACCTGCATCAATACCAAGCAGAAGAATAAAGTGTCAACAGAACTTACTCAATTCCATGATAATGACATACTGAGGCTTTCTCAAAAGGCAAGACCTGAAGTTTCCGAGGACTAAGTTCTGGCGTCAGAACAAAAGTCTTTTCCCTGAAACAAAAAGTTTTCCATTTGTATTTAAGGTTTACTTAACAACAAAGAGAAAGTTAAACACAATGTCAGAAGAAACACATTTGACATCTGACTTGCCCCTTCACAGTTTAATCTTATGGGATCCAGGTGACGGGCCACCAGAAAGCACAAGAATGAACAGAGGTGAGGCCAACGGGTTTTCTCACTTAAACTTTCTGGCCTCATTTAAGTTAAGATATTACTTATTGCACAAAACTATTCTGAGAAATGGATAACCAAAAATGGAATATGATCTACAATGGAATTTCAAGAGGTAGTATTAGTCCTAAAAGACTTCCTCCCACCCCCAGGAGGAAGAAGCTAATGTTTACGCATTTAATTAAATCCCTTTAGCAGGGGAATTATTAAAGTCAACTTGAATATTTGGCAACAACAGAAATATCTACTTCCTATTTCCTTTGCCTGAGAATGCGACTATCTCAACACCTACTTTAACAGTCAGCAACGTCTTAAATACCAGAAGGTATAGAGACAACCTGCTGACTTCAGTTGTTCTTCTGAGGTAGAGGTGGGTTTTCAACTGGCAGGTATGTCAGAACTAATCATGTGTCAAGTTTACACAAAACATTCGCATTCAACCTCTTCCACATCCAGACCTGCAGGGGTGTAGCGAAATACGGGTACGGCAATCAGATCAGGCTCTCTGGGTGACTCCTCCCTGCCTGATTTAGAAACCACTGTTCTGATGTGGTGAATCAGGGTCCTCAAGCTCAGATCTTGTGAGACAGGAGTGGGGAATTATGCAACAGTGGTCTTTAATTAGTTAAAGGTGGAATGAATACCAGGTGAATTCAGGAGTTGAAAATGGTATGTAGAAAGGAAAGGAATAAATTTGCTATCACCTTTCCCCCCCTTTGGCATCAGTAATGAAAACTATCCTTCTGCCACTGAAAATTATCTGAGATACTATAATAAGCAATCAAAATGGTTACATTAAGGTGTAAGACACATGCCAATTCACAAATTCTAAAACGGCAGACTTTATATTCAAATGCATCCATTTAAAGTATTCCACAAAAGTAACACCAGTAAGTTACAATAACCCAGGTATTTTCATGACTATTAAAGAAAAATTGTGTAGGTCGGGCACGGTGGGCTCATGCCTATAATCCCAGCACTTCAGGAGGCCAAGGCGAAGGACTGCCTGAGCTTACGGGTTCAAGACCAACCTGAGCAACACGGAGACCTCGTCTCTACAGTAAATACAAAAAAATTAGCTGGGTGTGGTGGCACACACCTGTAGTTCCAGCTACTTGGAAGGATCACTGGAACCCAGCAGGTCAAGGCTGCAGTAGCCGTGAGCATGCCACTGCACTCTAGTCTGGGTGACAGAGTGAGACACTGACTAAAAAAAATTTTTTTTACTAAAAAATAATTTTGTGATATTTAAGTATCTAGCACTTTACTTCTTTCCTTTACCATGTTGTCTCTCAGTTCTAATTTCAATCCCTCTAAGCAACTATGCCTATTTTTAATTTCACTCACAATTCGTTCTTTCTGAAAGAAACATTTTAATGAGTATGTATTTTGTCAATGTTTATTATTTCCTGGGTATATACACAAAAGTCATGCTTGCACTTGTTGAATGTAACACAACATTTTGGATGGCTCCTGTAAGAGCACAAAGGTTCCTGATTCATTGCCACGAAAGCTCGTTCCTCAATTCTAATGCTGACAGAAGATAACGTTTGATGAAGATGCAGTTCTTTACTAACATCGAGGAATCCTACCAAACTTTCCTTAACAGCTCATGCAGTTTCAACTCCAGAAAGAATGAACTATATCTCCCCTACATGGCATCTAGAAAGATGGTCAAGTCAAGAAAAGGCACAATCTAAACGAACATACTTCGGTGTTGGCAAAGCCACCCGACTGTCAGTTTGTGACGAATGATGTCAAAGGACAGGAACTAGCAACCAAATACATGGAATGAGCGCACCTTTCACGTTCTTGGTTGCCACAAAACGGTTACCAAGCGCTCAGTGATGAGAAAAGAAAAATGACTCAAAATTTATACAGTTTTTATGTCACTAAGACCCTGAAGTTTTCAAAGTTGCTGCCTCTCTCTCCCCCTAGTGAATACACACGTAAAGGCAACCAGGTTCTAACGATATTTTTGAGACACAACTACTTACAAATAAATCCTTTCTGAAATTCATCTTCAAAATCAATATTTATCACAGTGTAATTCAAATCAAGCTTTGTAAAAGTGATCAAAGTGATCTACAATTTTTCCATTTGTACTTAGTTTTTAAGGTTCTTTGTAAGGTTTTCAAAGTAATGAGTTAACAATAAAAAAGAAATGTGCAAATGTGTAATGAGCAAATTATTTAATTCTCACAAGTTTTTTTTTTGAGTTGGAGTCTCACTCTGTCACCCAGACTGGAGTGCAGTGGCTGCTCCCAGCCACCACAGCCTCGACCCGCTGGGCTCCGGCGATCCTTCTGCCTCAGCCTTCCAAGTAGCTGGCACTACAGGCACGTGCTACCACACCCGGCTCATTTTGATTGTAGAGATGAGGTCTCACCAAGTTGCCCAGGCGAGTCTCGAACCCGCGGGCTCAGGCAATCCACTCACCTCAGCCTCCCAAAGGCACAGGATTACAGGCTGAGCCACCGAGCCCGGCTTCTCACAAGTATTTGATGTCACAATTTTACCTGTAATTCTGTCAACTTCAGCAACAGCTAGCATTTATAATTAGCAACTTAGTGGAAACTATCTTGGAAGCCAAATTATCCATTATTCAAATTCCATTATTCACGTGGACACTGAAATCATACTTGTTAATGATAGTTTCAAAAGCATTTTTATGATACTTTCCCACTCCCTTGAGTTAAAAAGGTTGTGCTTTTTGCCACTATTAGGCATGACGGATCACACTCTTGCCATGTAGAGGCAAAAAAAGAAAAAGAGAGAGTAACACAGGAAAGACAATTTAACAACATGTTTGCAAGTCACATTCTAATTTTTTCCTAAGAAGTAGTGCCCTTAGCATACAGTAGAAGCTACTGACTTCTACAGGGAATATGCAGAGGCCACGTATTCCTGTCTCCCTCCCCTGTGTTCAACGCCACAAAACATCAGGACGTGTGGCTGAGCCCAGTGCAAGGAGGAGGGCCAACCAACAAACACTCAGAACCAAAGTACAAGTGCCGCCTGAGCAGCGCAGGGCAGCAGTCAGCTGAGAAGAAGAGAGGCAATGCTACTTAAAAGTAAGTCTGCACAGTCAGCCGGAAACTGCCAGTCCAAAACTTGCCCCTTCTGAATCGGCAGCGGCCGCAGCTCCCCGACTGGCAGCCCATCGGAGGTGAAGTGCTTCAGCAACTCTTTGGCATCCAGCAAGGTGATGGAGTCCCGAGGACCGTCTCTGTGGCCCAGCAACTGTTCAGAGGAACGAGGTAAAGAGCCGGCTCTGAGAAAATAATGTTATGTGAATGGATTAAAAGGGGATTCAAATTCACCATAGTCAGGAAAAACTGATGCGAGCAGAAGCCAGAAAAATGCACCAAGGAAACTGAGGAATTAAACACCTAGGAAAGACAATAAAGTAAAATCTTAGCAAATCAGTTTCCACCTACATTTTAGAAAATCTTTAGGTCACAATGAAACTTGCAGTTACTATGTCATTGATTCTACTACTTAAATAAAATAAAAATAATTATATTATCTGTAAATGGTGGCCCACTATCCAGTAGTGCGAACTTTGAAATTCATCAAAATTTAAATTGAAACTGTCTTGTACGTTCTGAAACCCCATAATATTGTAAACTGTTGAGGGCAGGGACTGAATGCTCAAATTTTCCACGAACTTGGAAGATTACTTGAAGCACAATCATGAAATGAGACCATCATCAGAAATGTCTTGAAGGTCTCTTCTGGTCATGATTATGATCTTATGAATAAGCACTGAATCCTTATCATATCTAAAATATATGCAGGACTTTATATTTTTCAAAGTACTTTACGTACAATATATTCTTACTCCTCATAAATTTTACCGAAAAAGATGAAACAAGTCTTATATCAAAATTAAGTAACAACTAAAAATAAGTACTTTGTAAAATGAAAATCAGCATACAAAGCCTGAAAAACAACTATTATATCTATTTTTCAAATAAAGAGACCAACACATAATGGGTTACGTTATAGACCCAGGGTGACACAGCTCTTTGAAAAAAAAAGTTAGAACTAGACTGACTTAAAATTAGGTACTATTTCTACTCTATCACTCTATAACCCAAAAACAGTCACAGAAAGTTTTAAAAACTAGAAGGAAAATACTTTAGTTTCAGAGACTGCTAGAGGTTTTATTAAAGCACTGAATTACAGGTCACCCTAGCTCTGTCACCATGACATAAATAAAATTTTTCAGTATCTACAAAGAAAATTAATTTCCTAACTTTATATTAATTCAACTACTTCACTCTCATTTATCACTCAAATTAAGCATTTTTACTGATAATTATGTGATTAAAATATCACCATTTTTAGACTTGTATTTGTATAAATTAGGGACCAATAACATACTGACAGTGAATCTTTCCTCTTCCTAGTCCTGTATTTTTAAATTGAAAGTAGAAATCTAATAAAAATAGTCAAACAAGAAAACACACAAATGTTTTCTCTGAACTTCATGTTCCAGTAGGGTAGGAGCTGTATTTTTATTTTAGTTGCTATATAGCTATTCACTAATAGTGACTCACAAAGGTTCTTAATGAATATTACATGTACTCATTTTACAGGTTGATGTAATAGGAAACGTGTAGTCTGTATTTATACAGAACCCGAGACATCTATCTGCCACAGCTCAAGACGATTCTTCCACAAATCATGATGCAACCTTCTCAAAACTTCCACATAAAAACTGGTTGACCGTTTGATCTGGAGGAACAAATTCTGAGTGCACTACAAGTGACCCGCCTGCCAAAAGATTATTCCATTTTGGGGGGGGGGTCTCCCCCTAGTAATTAAAGCAGGTATTTCAGAGAAAGAAGAAGAAAAACAATGAAGGAAAGAATATTATTGAAGAAATAACGGAATGTTTCCTAAAGCCAAAAAAAGACAAAACAGACGAAAACATCCTATACCATGGCCTCATGTAATTCCAGAACATTAAAGAAAACAAGCCGGGCTCGGTGGCTCAGCCTGTAATCCCGCGTCTTTGGGAGGCTGAGGTGAGTGGATTGCCTGAGCCCACGGGTTCGAGACCCGCCTGGGCAGCGAGACCTCATGTCTACAATAAATCAAAAAAATCAGCCGGGCGTGGTAGCGCATGCCTGTAATTCCAGCTACTTGGAAGGCTGAGGTGGAAGGATCACCGGAGCCCAGCAGGTCGAGGCTGCGGTGGCCGGGAGCGGCCACTGCACTCCAGTCTGGGCGACAGTGTGAGACTCCAACTCAAAAAAAAAGAAAACAGAAAATCCTAAAAGGCATACAAACAAAATAAAATAACCATTAAGGAACAAAAATCCATGTGGCATCAGACTTCTCTCTAAAATATGAGATCCCAGAAAACAAACTAACCTAAAAAGTGATCAAAAGAAATGCCAGGATACCAGCTATACAGGTAGAGTCAGCCCAGGGCTGGGCACAGTGGCTCATACCTGTAATCCCAACACTTTGAGAGGCTGAGGCAGGAGTACTATTTGAGCCCAGTAGTTGGAGGCCAGTCTGGACAACATAGCAAGGCATCGTCTCTACAAAAAAAAAATAAAAAACATTAGCCAGACATAGTGGTGCATGCCTATAGTCCCAGCTACTCGGAAGGCTAAGGCAGAAGGATCACCTGACTCCAGTTGGTCAAGGTTGTGGTGAGCCATGATCATGCCACAATGCACTCCAGCCTGGAAGACAGAGTGAGCCTCCCAAGAAACCAACAACAAAAAAAGACTACGAAGAAAAATAATTGTCTACTGCAAATAACATAAGGTTTAGAGATACAGGGAGGATAAAAAGGAAAGAAAATAGGGGTGTTAATTTCCTCATCTTTCACAGTGGAAGTCATAAAATATCCTCTAAAATTGGTAGGCAAGAAAGTGAGGTGCTTTTGTGGGCAACCTGGTCTCTTCTTATTCTTCTGTCTTGTCTTCCTCTCCCTAACCTGTAAATACCAGGGGTCCTCAAGGAACAGTCTGAAGCTCCTAACAGTCGCACCAAGTGATTTCACCCACTATCATGTGTTTGAAAACTCCTATTAACTCCAAGCCGAGTTCCAGATCTCCCCCGAGTCCACTTGTTATCTCCACCTGGATAACTCATCGCTCAGACTCAGCATTCCCGAAGAAGAATTCTCCCTGAAGCTGTCCTCACCTCAACTTCCTACAAATCTCCCCCATGAAACTCCACTCTCACCCTATTCAAGCCAGAAAGCTAAGTTATCCCTCTCTCCTGCATCCAACCCATCATAGGAAGCTTTTATCCAGCATACCAACATCATGTAGCCCAAGTGTGTTCCCCACCACTACTGCTCTGGTCTGAGATCACAGTTATCTCCCAGGCTACAGAAATAGCTACCTAACAAATATCTCGGCTTCCATCTCTCCCTCTTGCTTTTACTTTGCAACAAAAAAAGGAAAGTTTTTGCAAAATCAGATCCTATCTTTCATTAGTGGAAATCCTCCAGAAGCTCCCCGATGCACTTAGACTCAGCTGTAACTTCCAACTCTGTATGGGGACTATTTGGTACTGTGTGACTAAATGTGCCCCACCCATTCGGACATTAGGTCTCAGATCAGATGTTCCCTGGCCATCTAAGTTAGCACCATTTCCCTACCCACAGCAAATCAAAGGCTTCTCCCTTGGTCCCCTGGTTTCACTCATTACACACGGTATTATATTTACTCAACGGCTGCTTGCTTCCTTTCAACGGTCTCTCCCATTAAACGGCAAGCTCTAAGACGAAGGGCATTGCATAGCTCGTGCTCCTCATACTCCCAGTGCCTGACACACAGTTGGTGCTCAATAAATTATCTGTTGACATGTTTGAAAAAAATGCTGTATCAAGCTGTAACGTGCTATCAACAGAGGAGTTAAAAATAAACATGTGACTTGCAATATTTTGGAGAAAAGCAATTTAAGAAAACTAAATCTCTCTTAAATTTAATCATTCAACAATTATATACTGAGTGCCTACTGTGTTCTGAACCAAAAAAATCAAACAAAAATAAACCCCACCTCCTGGAGTTGGTTAATCGGAACTATACAAATACATTAACAGCTCAAAGTGGTTCAAACGAGGAGAGTCCTTCCACTCCATCTTACATGCTCCTGTCATAAGTCTTTCGTATATATTCACAAACTTGTGTAAGTCTATGAAGATGGTCTGGAAAGCTATACTCCAAATGTTCACCATGACTACATATACCCAGAAAGTGCAAGTGCAAGACAGAGAAATATGTGCATTTCCCTTTTAACTGACATACTACTCTACTGATTACCTATCGACTTCTAGTATTTCTTCATGCATTTCTTTTATAATAAAAGTATAAATTACTTATATCTCATAAACACAATTTAAGGATTAAGAAAAAAAGAATTCACTTACAAATACTGAGCTATAGCAGGCTTTACTACAGATTCAAATATTACCTCATTTTTTGTTTGGCTTTTTCAAAAGTTTCCAAATTTTGGAGAACATGCCTTTCTGGCCATTCCAGAGAATTGGTTTCCATTAGACTTGAGGAATCAGGTTCAACGGGACTGAAGTCTAAAGAGAAAGACACACACATAAGTGCTGAAGGGTACAGACATAATAAATTTTGCTATAAAAATGTGTATTTATAGATCTGTACATACATCTGTGTGTATATATGTGTGTAGAAAGACATGATGAGTTAGTTATGCAAAACTCACCTTTAGCATGTGATCACCTCTCTGATCATCTGAATGTACAAAATGCCATAGAAAAGTCTGTCAGGAATGAAAGTAAAATCTCCTTATAGTAAAATTTATGAGTAGGAATTCAGAAAACTGAATTAGCCCTATTAGGACTCGTGTAGAATAAAAGCATCACTTTGCTACCTTTTGTGAAATTTGTTCTGAATGAAAAAGAGGCAACTCTGTAGAGAATATATTGAATATACTGTGTAATTTTCATTCCCGCAGACTGAAAAATTCCATGTATTTTAAAAAGATATGACCTCATTCTCAAAAGTACAATAAGAATAATAACTTATAATATTTTCTGGTAAAGGTTGCTTTAGAAATAATTCTCACTTATCTACTAATGTTAAGATGCCCAAATACACACACTTTCAAATCACTAACATTCAGTGCTATCTTACTACTAATCAAATATCAAATGAAAGAGTGTGCTTATCTTTCTACCTAATATGTTGCAGTGAACTCATGCTGAGATTGTCAATGAAAACCTAAAGGGATAGCTTCCATTCTCATTAGAAGTTATCAATATATCCAAAATGCTTTAACACTGGCAAAATTGCTAATTGTGTTACTTTTTGGACTACAAAGCTATCTGGATTCAAAATTATTTTGAGCTATTACACACGGTTTTAATAAATTGACTAAAAATTATTGGATGTGGTTGTTTGACTAACCATCAACACTGACAAAAATACCCATCTTATATAGTTTGAGGATCCTACAAAATGATAATCTGGTAAAGCAACTTTTAAACAAAAAATAAAACAAAAAAAACAGAGGCTTTATTTTTTAATGGAAGTCAATTGCATGTTATTTTCTCTTTACTTGCTAAGCCATTTAAACTTGAATATTTCAAAATATTTCAATACCTAAACTGGATTGCCCTCACTAAACACCATACAAATACATTTCCCATTTCTTAGTAAAGGTGGTGAAATACCATTTTATAGAATAATAAGTTTTATAATAAAATGTATACTTCTGAATGTTAACATGGCTTTCCACTAAGAGTATAAAGAAGAAAACCCCTAGCAGTTCCACACAACTCCATGCTGTGAATTCATAAAAGAATGCAAGCCATCTTAAATAATAATAAACATTAAATGGTTCCTCAATATTACAATATAACTAATTACTAACTTTGATTGCACAACCTACATTAAAAACAAATGACAAAGGCTAAATATTAAGAAATGAGTAGACAAATATCCATGTGTCATGTCTTTTGGGGAAATCATTTAATTCTTACACAAAAATAAAATATATTATACGCATGTGGCAGTCAAAACACTAGGTCATGCTGACAACCAAAAAGCACAAAGGCTTACTAAGAAACCAAGAATACTGCTTTTAAAAAAGCAAGCATTTTATTTTATAGGAGACACAGGGAAATAGAACCACTGCAAGCGGGAAATAGGGAAAACTAACCTACAAAATCACAACTCACTGGTGACAGTATGTGGTTAATGAATACAGGCCATTATAACCTTATGCACCTAAATATGCATAAACTGCAAAGAAAAGTTTATATTATACATAGTATAAAATAATATTATACATAGCATTGTTTAATAAAGCAAGAATTGTAAATACATACTGGAAGATTCCTTTAAAATGTTTAAAATAATAAAATAATGACCTTACAGAACTACCTGGAAAACATATGTGCAGAACTACCTGGAAAACATATGATGGTCCTAGGTAAAGGAAAGAGTTACTGTGTTATGAGTTCAGGTATCACAACTGACACTGTGAAAGTCTTCAGCAACTTTATAACCATGAACAAATAAAATGATTAGATTAGGCTTTTTCTACATACTGACTTGTCACTTGTTACACAGACTAGAGATTTTACCTGTAAATAACTCTACCAATTGCTATTAATTTTTAAGGTGCACGGCTGCAAATAATGGGTGAGAATAAAATACACAACTGACCTTACTGTTTCTTTGGCTATGGAATTTACATGTCATGTACTTATTCAAATCAAAACTACAAAAGATGGTAAAAACTTCATTCTTAGGAGTGATGTTCAAGTGTATAACCTGCCGAATTTCAGTTCAGGTTCTCCAAGTCTTCAGGGTTTTTTCCACGTGTTCAACAACTATGTGGGGGAGAGCTTACTCCTGTGTGCCAGATACTGTGTGAGGCTCTGGTGGTCCTGAACAAAGCAAACAGGCCCACTCCTTACCTTCAGAGAGCACAGAGCTTAGAAGAAAGACAGAAACTTAAGACACACAATGGTACAAACAGAACATACTGTAAGATGTGATCAGTAATTTGAAGAAAAGCCATGGAGAACGAGAACAACAGGCAACAACGCACACTGAGGAAGGGCTGAGAACGCCTCCGAGAAAGGGACACCTAATCAAAACCTAGGAGCGACTAACAGGCAGTCAGGCAAAGGCGAGGAGAAAAGCAGTCCAGGCAGGGAACACTGCATGCGCAAAGCTTCTGAGGTGGAAAGGGTATGACACGTCCAAGGAAAGGCAGGACTCTCCGCAGCAATGAGGAAACAGAGGCGACAGTGAGGGGCTAGAATATCTGGTCTGAGGCCAGCCCTCTTGAGAGGTTATCACAGGCCACACTCAGGATGACACATTTTGTGTGCAACTCCATGTGCTCAGTCAAAAAGGTCTAAGCAAAGAAGCGGGACAGTCTGAGATGGGCACTCCTGTAGCTCGGTACAGGTAGCTCTAAGATACATTTTCTTACACTTACATAAAAGCCCCAGCGATTGTTTGTGCCCTTTCCCACCTGTCAACCCTTCTCTCTTGTACAGACCCTCCAGGAAACCAGTCTCTCCATCTCAGCCTTGCTGACTCCATGGCTCTGAGCTTGGGGCTATTTCTGCCTAGCAAATTCTATCCTCTCTCTGTCTAGATCTTAGGCATCACTCAAGACCCACATCAAGTCCCTTAGCCCCCCACCGGCCTCCTGTGACTATTCTTCCCTACAGTCCTCTCCTCAAAACTCATATACATTTATTTATTTAACCAGCGGGTACCTTATACCAGGCAACTTCCGGAGCAGTTTACAAATAATTGAATCTTCATGTCAACCTTTTTTTTTTTTGAGTTGGAGTCTCACTGTCGCCCAGACTGGAGTGCAGTGGCCGCTCCCGGCCACCGCAGCCTCGACCTGCTGGGCTCCGGCGATCCTTCTGCCTCAGCCTTCCGAGTAGCCAGAATTATAGGCATGTGCTACCACGCCCGGCTGATTTTTTGATTTACTGTAGAGATGAGGTCTTGCCTTCCCAGGCGGGTCTCGAACCCACGGGCTCACACAATCATGTCAACCTTTATCATTCCTAACTTAAAGACAAACAAGCTGAGGCTCAAGGTGGTCAGAAAACAAGCCGTCCGCTGGTCTTGCTCCAGTGTTGCCCTGTAACCTCGGAGCTGGCAGCCCGCAAGCAGCCCAGCAAGTCTCCAGCATCTTTCCGACACACTGCATAGCTCTTCAACTTGGGTACTGACAAGTAAACTTAATACAAACAATGCTTTTTTGGATACTTGGTGCTCAAAGTGTTTCACATAGATAACTCATTTAATCCTCACAATAACCCTAGTAAGTAGGTTATGTTAATACTCCCACTTTGAACAGGAGAAAATAGAGGTGTAGACAGGTTGAATAGCTGGCCCAAAGACATTCAGCTGACAAGGGACAAAAGTGAGATTTGAGCCCTGAAAGTCCAGCTCCAGAGCTGTGTCCTTAAACAAGGTACTATATCTTGCTTTCCAGATAGATCATAAGCCCATTGAAAGCAAAGGATCATGATTTTTACATTTTTGTGTACGTTCACGATGTCACACACAGAAAGACACTCAACAAACATGGTTGTGGTCATTTTCCCAATAACCTATGCAGTAAAAATGATTCTCACAGAATAAAAACAAAAAATTGTCCTGTACATCGAAAACTGTCAGGCAATCTTCAAATGTCTCCTTGTTAGAGCTGGAAAAGCTTCACTCTATTCAATTTCATCACAACAGAACCGAAAAATAAAAGAAATCCAATTAAATATTAAAATGATTTCCTGCTCCCTTGGTGAAGTTTGGTGACTATTCCCACTCCAATGAATGGCAGAGGTGGAGCAGCTCAGCACATGTAGTTTTCTCTCTATTAAACTCACTGTGTGGGTTTTGCTTTCCACACTTCATGAAAATGTAACACAGAAATCCACCCACTCTAGTAGCTTAGTAAGGCTAATGAGAGGGACCACCTTAAAACGCTTCTTCCTCTGCTCAAAAACAATTATCAGAAACTTTGCAATGTTTAAATGACGAGAAATACAGTCCATCATATGTACATACATACTTGTATATATAAATATGTATCACTGTTTAAATTTACAAAATTCATTCTGATTTGACCAATATATTTTATAAGTTTTAATAAATAATAACTGTCATAGATACTACACACACACAAAAGAACTGAAATTTAAAGTAATAAAGAACTTACCACTTAATATATTTTTGCCTGTATTTCTTAGAAGCACTTTAGGAATCGCAGCATCAAAACGATCTAAAAAGTGTTCCCTGGTGAGTATTAACAGACTCTTGAGTTCAGCCATGGAAATGGTTTCAGGCTGCTTTGCTGACCTTTTCCTTCCTGTAAGGCAAACCAATACAGTCAGTCATGTGACTACTATTGTGAAGCCTCTCTGGAGCTCGTATACTCCTCTTTTATGCAAAGCATTTCCAAAACTAAAACAAGTGGATTTCGCTAGTAAACCGGCCTTCCTGCTTTTCGGAACGTAGGGCCCGCACTTTAATTCCATCTGTAAAGGAGGAGAGAATTTCCAGCGTCGTGAGATAAAGCGACACGGAGTCATTTGCCAACACCGAGAGCTAACCACAAAGACAAGCTGACAAGAGTTTTCAGAAATCTGCTGCAGAGCAGTAAACGGCCTCCTGTTCGTGTTTTTGGGAAGACAAGACCCGGGAGGTTTTCAGCTGGACGTGGGAGCTTGTCCACGTCTGTTTCTGCTCCGCCCCCGACCGAGGAGCGCAGCCCAGGCGTCGAGGGACGCCAGAGGCGGCGACAGGACGTCCTAAAGACTCCCACACTCGCGCAGCGCAGGACAGGCAGGGCAGGGCAGGGCGGCGGCCCGCGGCCCCGCGGCGAGGCGGC